ATGAGAAGTGAATCAAAGTTATGGTGGATAAGAAAACAAGTTTCTTAGCCAAACAGATGAAAAGAGAAAAGAATAGAATAGATTCAGATGATATATATAACCAACTAATAACAAAATATATTGTTAGAGACAATCATACTGATATATATAGAGATAAATCACATGTTATAGAGACGAAACAATTCATGGAAAAGAATTGAAGAACAGGGGATAAAAAATTACCAACCTTCACATTTGGATCACAAAAAAGTGAAAACCCTAATAAATAGAGAGAGAGAGAGAGAGAGAGAGAGGGAGAGAGAGGGAGAGAGGACTGTTATTTTTTAAGCTTATCTCTACAGATTACAGAGCTTCTTCATTATACTAGTTAAAGGGCCGCTAACTAATGCCCAGCCCAGCCCAGACCAGCTAGTGCCCATTACATTTGTGTTTAGAACTGAAATTTATAAACATATTAAGTCTAGAGTAGAAAATTATACGGAGAGAAAAACGTTATGTACATATAAACTAACTTAGAATTGAGCTATCTGTTTAGTGGAAAACAATTGCAAGAGAATTTCTCTCTAAATTTCAATATATCACAAGAGATAAACATAACTGGTAATACTCAAAAATAAGTGTAACAAAATAACCAAGGACATTTTTCACTTGTAGACTCAGAAGGGTGATCCTCATGGTGAATTGACTCGAAAAAGAAAAAAGAAATGTGACAAAATAACCAAGGTCATTTTCACACTCGTAGAATTGGAAGGGTGATCCTCACAGTGAACTGACTACATTCCAGACGGAAGCCTTCTTAGCTTGGCATGTAGTTTTGATTCGCTTACTTGCTCAGACATGAAAAAGAAAAGAAAAAGTTCGTAATAAACTCAAATATTCGCAAGAGGGAAAAAACAATTCATAATGGTTGCTGAAAAGATTAACAGTAACATAACCAAGGTTATTCCACAGATTTGTTTTTGAGCGGCAAAAGAAAGAGAGAATATATTACAATGATCTAGGAGGAAAAAAAATTGCATCATTGTCCAAAACACCTCATCCCAATTGTGTTGGCACCTAGTGATGGACCAATCATGTGCACTCCTAGCAGCAAACAAACAAATACAAACAGAGTTGATAAGGATTCAACTCATACCAACAATGAATGCAACACACAACAACCAAGCTTAAACAGCAAGTAGAAGCAGTTAAACTGTTGCCAGGCCTTTCATGTAATCACCCAGTTCTCTTAACGCAAAGTTTGGTTGTACACTTTGAAATACACATTCATTCCCTATGTTTTGAGCACATTCATTCAAGTTTTTTGTGATCAAAACCAGTCCACCAGTGTAACAGCGCATCAACAGTCCTAGGTATGAAAATTTAAAAACAAAGAACAAAAAAAATAAATGGGCAGTCAACATTAAGCATGAAAATTTAATCGGTATTACTGAGTTTGCATATTAATTTAAGATATTTAGTAGAAGAAAAAATAAAATAATCAATTGTGAAATAACTTCTTCCAAACATCACATTTATCTTTCCCACCTCCCAACATGTAGATATAAAACAAAACATGTATTTTAAACATAATTAGAAATGCACGGGATAGATAAGAAAAATGAAAACAAAAGTGCAATTGTGAAATTATACCAAATGTTTTAGACTTGATCATTTGAAATGCAAACATTTGTTTGTTAAAATTAACAAATTGTTTTCTAGCTTAAGAGTAGCCTACTTCATAAAGGGTTCACTTTTTGTTGTACAATTTATTCAATGCAATTTTTGTTTTGTCTAAGTTGAAATAATGAACATATAATGCTTGAGATCATTATAACGATTATCTAAAATATTATGTGTGCAAATTATCAAGTAACAATTAACTTTAATTTGTGGTTTCAGAAATTATGATAGCTAGAAATTAAAAGGTACTCACCTTGATCTTGTTAATCCTATGCATTTGGTAAACTATATTGTTGTCACAAAATCCATTATTTCCCTGCAATAGAGACTGAGAAAGTGTAATCTTAGCCTACAACTCTCTTAAATCCCATATTTGTGCACACATAACCAAAGAAAGAAGAAATGCATATCCATGTCTAGATGATTGCTGTTATACACCTAGAATTTGTTTATTAAATGATACACAAATGAAAAAAATATGAAACAAGTAACAAAATCTACTAAAGGTAACAGAGGAAATTATAAAACTTATTGCAAACTCACATCACAAAGAAATATGAAACCACTAATATGAAGCAAACCATTGGCCAAGACTCCAATGGCTATGTGTAGTTTTCCTCACATTTCTATTTAACCCTCCATAGTGGCCCAAGGCCCTAACCCCCAATCAAATTAAAGCATGATTCATACTAATGTGGTATAATTCTCTTTTATGAATGAAACTCAAACAAAAATCATTTCCAAACCCCAAAAAAAAAAAAGCAATGAAGAGCAAAGATTGGATCTTTAACAGTTCAAATCGATGTTTAAAAGTGATCTTAAGAAATTGTTGACATTTATGGAACATGTAAACAAATATAGTGACACAATTTGTTAGCTGATGAACATAGGGAATACGAAGCCAAAGCAAAACCACCCCACAACCCTTCTGAATAGAAACAAAGACAGAAGCAAGTTCCACAAAAAAATCGTGAGAAACAAAATTGAAAAATAGGCAGAAAAATAAAAATCAAGACCCCCTTACGCAACAACAAAAAAAAAATGTATAGGATCTGGAAAAAAAGCAAAAACCCTAACTTTGTTAGTCGACCTCTCATAAAATTCCCATTTATGACCAAACAAGGAAGACGAAGACGAAGACAAAGCAAAAGCACAACCACCACACAACCCTTCAAAATAGAAATAGAAAAAGAAGCAAGCAAAAAAAATTGTTGACAAAGAAAAATTAAAAATCAGACCTCCTTTTAATGCAAATAAATAAATAAATAAAATAATGTACAGTAGCTGAAAGAAGGCAAGAACCTTAATTTTCTTAGGCAAACTCTCTAATTTTTTAGGCAAACTCTCACAATACCTCCATTCATGATCAAAGAAGGAAGATGAAGACAAAGACAAAGCACAACTACCAAACAAAGCAAGTAACAAAAACATAATTGCACCAACAAATCAATAATCTATTCAATTCCTCAAAAATCAAAGATAAGACAAAATACAAAACTTTTCCAATAAGAGAATTAGCAAGAACATACTTGTTGGTGAAGGGAACTAAGTTGACCTACTACTTTTTGACCACATCAGTGATTATGTGGCAATTTGTCTTCCAAGTATTTTATCAAATAATTCAAGCACAAAATTCAAACACCCAATGGATATTATCTTTGAAAAGAACAAAATCACCAGTATTCAATCCAAAGAACTAAATTCCATCACAATATTGATTATATGCTTAGTCCGTCAGAGCTAGAATTGGGTTTTGAAGGTCAATCGTTGCCATTAAATACATCTTCAAAATTCATGTCAAAGCCAAATAGAAAAACACCAAAAAAGTTTTGAATCACACAAATTGAGTTTTTAATTCTTTATTTGCACAAACCCTAAAAGTTTAACAACATATAAAATCCAAAAAAAATATTATAGACAAAAATTACAAAGCTAAATAATAAACCCTTATATTTTTCTGAATCACACAAATTAAGTTATTGATCTACACAAAACTCAAAAATTTAGGAGTCATACCTAGATGAATGCCCAAAATAAAAATACCCACACATCATGGTAATCATAGAAACCAAAGAAAATGGAATCGATAATAAAAAGAACGATAGAAAAATCAGAACTTACCCAAAAACGTTGCTGCACTTACTTTATTTTGTACACTTTGATTTTCAAATAAGACTACAGTTATAAAAACAAAAAAACAAAAAAAAAAAAAAAAAAAAAAAAAAAAAAAAAAAAAACAAACAAACAAACAACGAAATTTACCGTATCAGAACTCAAAAATCCATCTTCCAAAGACCCTTTATAGAAGAAAATCAATTTCTTTGATTGAATCTGAAGATATGGTTTGAAACTGTGGATTAGCTCTAAAACACACAACAAAATCATAATGAAATCAAACATTTAACAACACAAAGAACAAATAAGGAAGAGAAAAAATAACAAAATCGCGAAATTTACCATATCAAAACTTAGAAATCCATCGAAAAACCCTTTGTAGAAGAAAAATCAATTTCCTTGATTGAATCTGAACACGATTCCAAGTCAATAAGTTTATCAAAGAATTTTTCTTTCACAGTGCAAAAGAAAAAATAAAAAATAAACAATTCATTCCTATGTTTGGGACTAAAAAGAAAAGATTAATCTTGGATTAAAAAGATAATAATTTGAAGAATTCTTTTCAAAATGAATTTTTTTAGTGTACTGGAAAAAAAAAATCTTAGACTTGACTCACTGTTTAAGGTGATTGGGACTTTGGACTTTGTTCAGAGAAGGCCTATCAAATTAGTATTAGTCAACAACTTAGATGTTTGGGACTTTGTGCGATTATCATTTTCATAGTTTTTTCTATGTTTTTGGTTGTCTTGGTTTGTATGAAACGTCGTGAAAATGTTCATAATTGGTTTTTTTTTTTTTTTTTTTTTTTTTTTTTTTTTTTGAGTTTCAATAGGAAGTTTTTCGTTATTGTGGCCTGTATGAACTAAAAGGTTCACTTTACTAAGTCTAATTCAGCAATTAGAGGTTGCCAAGGTGAGCTATTTAATGTTACAATTTAGTATCTTCACTATATTGAAGGAAATCTTATACTATGATTCTCTGTCCTTGAGAACCAAAGTCTTTATGGGATTTTAATCTTGCATTTATTGTTGATAAGTTATTTGACAAATATTAGTGGGAAGGAGGTTCAGGAATGGGCAAGTTTTTCAGGTGGAACAAATGATTCTAAGGTCTGTGTGCCAGACACGAATGACGAAGAACATTACTTCACATCTAGTGATATACCCAAGTTGCAGTTTAGGTAGAAATTTTGATAAAAAACCATTTATAAATTCTTTAGATCATTGTGTTTTAACAATTAATTGTGTATTTTTTCATTAGGAAAAATATTTCGTGGGCCCATTGGGATGATGAGATGGGAATGGCTAAGGTTGTTGGGAAGAAGGGTAGCATGTGGACAACAATAGGAATAGTCCGCAGCAGCAAGATCTATTGCTCAATTGAAGAGACTCTGTAAGTGATGTAATGATGTTCTTTGAATTTTCCACTCTTATCCTCATTGTAATGGTGAAGGCACACTAAAGATCGAAGTGATAATCAATAATATAAGGATTGAT